TGTGGGATGAATTCAGTTCCAGTCTTGAATGGTATATAAGACCCAAAGTCACACAGGCTTTACCAGTCTCTGTCAGACCAGTAGGCCTGGTCTTTTTTATGATTTTGAGTTTTGTTCCACATTTTTCTCCCATTCTGTTCAGGAATCCTGTTGTAATCCCTTTCAGAGTGATCAGCAGGGGTATGCAGGCACCACCATCTAGTTTTTCTGGCCTCATTGTCATGCATGCTGGGGCTCATGTGGTCCATTAGTCCTTTGGACATCTTGTTTCCTGTGTCTTTGATTTTCTTCACTCTTTTTTGTTCTGGTTGTGAACAGACCAATACTCACACCTCCATATGTTTATTGTAAGCAGCTCTGCAGGTGCAGTGGTTAAAGCACTTGGCTTCTAACTGGAAGGTCAGTAATTCAAACCCACCATCTGCTCCATGGAAGAAAGATGAGGCATCTGCTTCTGTACAAATTTACACCCTTGGAAACCCTATGGGGCAGTTCTAATCTGCTCTGTAGGGTCACTATGAGTCAGAATTGAGTCAACAATGGTGTGTTTTATGTTTGTGCCTTTTTATGTTTTTCATAGTTTTATGGAAAATGATACTTTCCATAGAATAATGATAGAAAGCTTCCTTTTGAGTACTTTGATTTAATTTACAAGGTGAGTTACAGGTAAGGCAGACATTGCTACAGTATTAGCTCAGTGATTGCACTTCGGGGAATACCACTTGGAGCAGTGCATTCCAAAATCAGACCTTCGCTCCTCTAATAACAGCAGATGGTTCTTTGGTCACATTGACTACATCTGCTCATGATGCCTAACATAGTTTGGGCTTTGTGAATGCCCCTCCATTTCCATTCATTTGGGAGTGTAAGGACCTTCTAGTTGGCTGTGAAGAAAGCCCTTTTAGAGAAAGTGAGTTCTGTGGGCTCCTTTCCCTGGCAGATTAAGAAAGGTAATACACAAGCACTGGAGGGTGTACAAATCAAGACTGACACTGTGAATAGAATGATTCAGAAGACAGGATTAAATAGCTTAATGATAGTCATTGTGAATCACAATGTCAGCCTTAGCACGGTTCTAACAATGCACTTGCTAGCACTAATGAGGTTTGATAGAATAAAATTAACAATGTCCAAACAGCTGCATGCTTTCACAACAAAGGAACCATATCTTAGAGCAGACTGATACATCCTCTCTGTGGGGGATTTTAGTCATTCAATTCTATTTTCTCTTTTAGGATATATTTAAATTTGCAAGAACTTCTCCAGTCCCAAGACAAAAGAGGTCCATTGTGGTATCTCCGATTTTAATTCCAGAGAACCAGAGACAACCTTTCCCAAGAGATGTTGGCAAGGTAAGTCAGACAAATGGCAAATGACAAAAGCACATTTTTATTAAGGCATGAAGACACATGAAGCAAGCTGACTTCATCAGGGTGACCAGCTGGCACTGGCCTCACATCCTCCACAGTGAGGGGCCAAATGGTTTTGGCAAGAAAAGAATTCCAAAGGATCATCCAAAAAATTGTGAGATTTTGGAAAACAAAAAATTTGAAAATCAAGAAGAAAAGCTTTTGAGTATCATGACTTGGTACCTCCAAGGTAGATAGTGATGTGGGATGTCACTGGCTAAGAAATGGAATTGTTGCATTGTAGATGCTGTCCAGGCAGCCAGCCAGATAAAGCCCCTTCATATAGTATGTTGATGTGTGATCTTTCTATTGAGACTGTAGTTTTCAAATAGGCCCAGGAGCACCACTGAATCAGATCTCTAAATCATACCATAACTGTCTTTGACATACATAATTCCACCGATAGTCTCTCCAAGGCAGTCTAGGCTTTCATTATTCCAAAAAAAAATTAAAATAAAAGCAAACTCACTGCCATCAAGTCAATTCTGACTCACAGTGACCCCCTTTGGGTTTCCAAGGCAGTGAATCTTTATGGAAGTAAACTGCCCAGTCTTCCTTCCATGGAGTGGCTGGTGAGTTTGAACTGCCAGCCTTCTCGTTAGTAGTCAAATGCCTTAGGCACTGTGTCACCAGCACTCCTTAGGTTTTCATTATTAGCAGCCTTAAATTATTCCAGCCTCTACCCATTACCCAATTCCAAAACTGCTTTCACATTTTAGATACCTGTTAGAGCAGCACCCCACTCCAGGTACCGAATGCTGTTTTAGTTATCTATAATCTTGCTATAATAGAATACCACGAGGGAGTGGCTTTAACAAACAGAGATTTATTCTCTCACAGTTTAGGAGGCTGGAAGTCCCAATTCAGGGTGACAGCTCGAGGGGAGGGCTTTCTCTTGCTGTTGGCTCACAGTTTAGGAGGAAGGTACTTGTCTCCTTTCAGCGTATGTGGGCCTGGCATTCCTTGGAGATCTCTGTGTGTCTCGGCATCAGTCTTCCCCTGGATCTAGGAGGTTCTCAGCACAGGGACCCTGGGTCCAAATGATGTGATCTGCTCGTGGTTCTTCTTTCTTGGTGGAGGTCCCCCCAGCTCAGAGGAACTAAAGCCTTCTAATCAAATCCATAAAACATTGTTGAATCAATCCGAACCACATTTTTTTTGTTGTTGTTGTTGTTAGAAGAGTGTAACTACTGATAGAACCTTGTCTGTACATCCCCTCCCCATAAGAAAATCTACAGAGTATAACCAGACATCCTCTGTGGTGGATGTGGAATTTGAACAATGGGTGAGTGATCTTAACAGTGGGTGCTACTGGACTTGTCATTCATTCATTAAATAAATAGGAGGCACCTCTCATCTGACAGACTCTAAGCTTGGGACTGGGTACATACAGCTGTGAACAAGCAGGTAATGTCTGATTGTGATAGAGCTTGTACAGAAGTGGGGGAGACATACATTTAGATAAGTAACTAAATAAACAAGAAAACCACAGAGTGTGACGAATGCTGTGTAAAACAGAAACGGTGTGCTGTGTTGGGACTAACTGGCAGGGAAGGTGAGGATTATTGTAGAGATGGTAGCAAGGCTGCTCACAGATGGGACAGTGGAGTCAAGACTGAAGAGATGAGATAGGGCCAGCTGCAGGAGGAACAGTGCAAAGGGCAAAACAGCATGAAGAGAGGCTTGGAAATGGGAGAGAACGTGATAGATCTGAGGACCCAAAGCCAGCGAGCAAGGTAGAGTGGTCAGAGTTGAATCAGAGAGGCCGACCTCCTGTGCAGCAGAAGAAACCATTGCTGATCGTGCGCCCATCATGTGATCTCTGATGTCCATGCCCCTTGTTGTGGCTCTTTTCTGCAGATCAGTGTGTCTGTGCTCCAGCTTGCTGAGCCTCACACATGTGTAGCCCTGAGTATGTTTGTGTAGCTTTTCCCTGAGGTATTTAACGTGAGGGCAGCTAACCAGGGACAGTTTTCCTCCTTTCTCAGAAGACAGTTTGTATCCAGGCTGAAGGCTCGCCTTCCTTCCCTCAGCCCCTTAGGTACTGGCCACACTGGTTCACAACCTGGATTCTCTCCAAAGCGACTGCTTGTCTACTTGTAATTGTCTAGCAGCCTCACAGCACAGGAGAGTCTCCCCCCCTCCAGTGGGTTTTTGCCGAACTGCACTGCCTCACAAAACCTATTCATTGTCTATTCTTTCTGGGCCTTTGAAGGAACATGTTTTCGTCCTCTCCCTACTTGTTTCTGTTCTCCATTTTACGCTGTATATCCCAGCCTATTCATTTCCAACGGTAGCGAGCAGCTGTAGTCTTGTGCCATGGGAAAGCATATAGGTATCTTCGGCTGCAGCTCTGGAGGTGGGGGAAAGGGACGGGAGACCAAGGAGGCCGGGCCCTGGCCTCCACACATCACTCGCTGCAGCTCAGACTCCCTCGGGCAGAGCAGCTCTGGTTTTATTAATATTACACATTAGACTCCACTACAGAGATTCCCCTGGAAGCTGACTCTGATATGAACATTCCAGCGCACAGAGTTGATTTAGGAGGTGCAGGGCACCGTAAGGAGGGAGGATGGGAGCCGAGGCAGGGAAGACATCCGGTAAGCGGTATGTTTATCAGCTCCTGGGGAGACTCTAGGGAACATGTGAAACATGGTCCTCAGAGTGATGGCACCCCAGAGGGGAGGGAGCTGGGCTGTGCATGCACCACTTCCCATGAGTGGTTGGCAGAGGGCCACTGACAGTGGTGTAAATTCCCAGGCAGCCCTGGCTGACTGTGTGCCCTGTGCACAGGCCGAGCAGCTTTTGAGTCTTGCAGGGAGAAACTGCAGGCAAAGGGATGACCTCAAGCTGCCAGAAGTCAGATGGCTGCAGTGAAGGGCCGAGGTCCACAGGGTGGGGACAGGTCACTAAGCTTGCGAAAAGTACTTCCATGTCCCAGGCTAGTATCTCTCTGCCTTTTAATCACCCCAAGCACCTAGCAGAGGCTCGGCCACTTACTTGTTCTTCCTCTGCTCCCATCTCATTGCCGGACTCACTTTCTGCATCTGGTGCCTTCAAACCCCACTGTACTTGCCTCTCTCCTTTGGTAAGTATTCGGTGCCTCCTGGAAGGGTGAATCTCTGAGATGCCTCCAATTTATCCCAACAAGTGCATATTCGGCACCTTCTATTTGTGAAGTATGGTGCCAGGCCTGGGAACCTAACAGCTAAGGAAAGAGACCTGATTCTTGCTCTCATAGTTACAAAGCAGTGGAAAAATATCCCTACATATTTATCGTCTACCCTGTCCTGTGCCAAGTGCTTCTCCACTGCTGGGCTGAATTCTCATAAAGAAGCCCCAAGAGGATTGATTGTCTTCCAACATGTCAAATAAGGGTAAGGTCCTGAGAGGGATGAGCGACCTACCCAAAGTCACATAGCCAGTTACCAGTGGAGGCAAGCCAGGCACCAGCTCACTGAGATTTCAAAGTCTGTGTTATTATGTTCAGAGGCTACTAAGCAAAAACTGACAGCCTTCTTCCGTGGACTGAAATATCCTTGCTGAAAATTACTCTCTTTATAAACAGCATTAAAATTAAATGTCATTCTTTGTAATGCACCACAAAGGAAGATGGCTAGAGGGATGTGTCACTGGCTGAGTACATGATAAGGCAAGTATAAGCAGTGAGCCTGGAGTCACTTCTGACGCGTGGCGACCCCATGGGGGCCAGAGCAGAGCTGCTCCAGGGGGTGTCAGCAGTGGATTTTTCAGTTGATTGCCAGAACTTTCTTCCCAGGTACTTCTCGGTGGACTTGAACCTGCAGCCTTGCAGTTAACAGCTCAATGCACTGCTTGTACACCCAAGGATCCAAGACAAACACTGGGAAATGTTCATGGTAGAATTGAGGCAATGGGTTATAGGGATCATTACTGTAAAATTCGTTCAGCTTTCCTATATGCCTGAAAATTTCATAACAAAATGTCAGGAAGAGGTATATGAAACCTAAAACTATGAAGGACACAGGAGTTGACGTGCTGGCACAGAGGGACTTTATTTGGTGGTTTTGTGCTTCAAGATGATGAATGGAGACCAAGTATCAGGTTCCTGATTTTCTTTGTGTTACAGTTTATGGCAACGTGGATTCCTCTGAAGGAAACAGCCCCAGTGTGAAGGGGTAAAGCCATCCATGGGCTGATGCTGTGGTACGTTCCTCTGTGTAGTGGTCACTCTCTGTGCAGGGGGATCATACCGTATGGAACGGAGTCCTGGGCATAGGCTGTGCAGAAGGCGCCAGGGTTCAGGCAATGTCTTGACCTGCTCACAGTTTATCATCCGCCAAAGAACTAGTTAGTTGATAAGTAGCTACATTGCTCGGACTGAGGGGAGGGTCTTTCCCACCCTAAGGGAGACCCCAGGTCACACCAACAATTAAGCACTAGGCTACTAACCCAAAGGTTGGAGGTTCTAATCCACTCAGAGACACCTCACAAGAAAAAACAATGAGCCAGTGAAAACCCCAGATCGGAGTGGAGTGGAGGGAGAACAGTTGTACTCTCACACACAGGGTGCACCACAGGGTCAGTCTAGTCCACAGCCCCTGGTTTGGTTTTGGTTTTCAGCCTAAGAGAGCACCCTGTCACAGCCCTGCCACCTCATTCCAGTGCTCTTGCTTGGCCAGCGGGGAGGGGAGCTCGAGCTGCAGGAGCCAACATCCCTCTAGAAGCCATCTAGGACACACCTGGCCCTGGCCAAAGTCTGCCTCCTAGTTTCTGCGCTCGTTCAGTGGCTCATTCTGCCCTTGAATTTCTCTCTGCACTGTTCAGGAACGAGTAGAATACCCCATCAGGAAGACACTTTGTCACACCTGTGCTTTTGTTCCCGCTTTTGAATTCTAGCCGGCAGGGAGGTGCTAGGAGTGGGTGCCCCGGTGAGACACATCTGCTTCCCACCATGGACTGGC